CCCCAAAACCCCAAAACCCCAAAACCCCAAAACCCCTTTTAGAAGACATAATATTGATATAAATATGTCAGAGGATATGGTTAAAACTATCCAAGTCTTACTTCAAGAGGAGAAGGATGAGGATAGGAAGAATATCTGAGGTTATAAAATTGATTCATGTTTTATCAACCATCCTGAGCAAGAACCAAGGTAAGGTTTGCTCTAGAAGATTATTTGGCAATAATCGCGTCATTCGTAGCATATCATCAATAATGGCCTTTTAGCATTTTTAAAAGATTTTTATCAAATTTGGAGCTCGATTTGCTTGATACCTCCAAAGGGAAATGAAAATATGGGCTGATACGATATTGCCATGATATGGCTCAAACAGTTGAATTACGCTTGTTGAGAAAATTTCATCAATTTTTTATAGGTTTGCTCTTATAGTATCTTCGCTTCTCTTTGAATTTTTATTTCCATCTCAAACATTGTCAGAGAGTCCAAGTTGTCAAAACCTGTTAGTTTCCTGTTGAGAGAGCTTTAGTTGATGAGATTGCTCTCTAATTGTGACTCTCCCTGAATCTGACCAACACATTTCTTCACAGTTTTCGATTAGAGCTTCAAATCAGAAAGCCATGTAGATAAGCCTGTTAGCTAACATAATAATAAAAATACTGAGAAGTCACTATTTTCTTACGTATGAGTTAAGCAGCCAATACGAATTTAGAATTTCTGAAATAATGAAATAAACTATAGGATTCCTTGCTTCTTTTCACACAGTAAGGATGAAACTAGGAGGAAGCCCTTCAATAAGGGTCGTATCTGATACCTCAATGAGATGTGCAACAATTTGAAAGATGGAGAATGTGGCCAAGGAAATGAATGAAAATACTGCCATTCAGAGTTAGAGTATCTGTACCACCCTGTGCAATATAAAACCCAGATGTGCCAGAAAGGGTCTCATCCTTTCCCGGATTTCTGCCCTCACGCTCACACTGAAGAGGATATTCGACTTGTAGAGGGGTATTTCCAGTGGTTACAAATTCCAAGCCAAAATTTGAGAGAAGAGCAAAATAAAGCAGAGGATCTAGAACAAGAGAGTGAAGAGAAGCCGCTTGATAAAGTTGATGATCTTCCTACCAAACTGCCTGGGAAACGCAAAGGAGGCAAGATGAAGAAGTCTGTCTCAATGAATGTAGCTGGGCCTGGTGGCATGGAAGCAGCATTTCCTCTAACCAAGAAGAAAAAGCAAGGACGAAACCGGAAGAAAAGTAACAAGAGTAAAAAGTCTGTTGATGGAAAGATGGTCGATGCCTTGTGATTTCTCGATCTCAAAACTTTTAAGGTAAAGCAGTGCACAGCTGGTACTAATCATAACCCAAAGAAATGTCTCAATTATCATGACTTTAAGAGAGATAGACGAAGACCTATAGGCACTTACTCTAGTGAGCAATGTAAGAATGTTTCTAAAGGAGGAGAATGAAGATATGGAGATAATTGTAAAAGAGCTCATAATAGAGTCGAAGAGTTTTACCATCCTGAGAAATATAAAGTCAAATTTTGCTCAAAGTATCCGAACGACCTTGATTCTTGCGAATATGGGCAATTCTGCTCTTTTGCACATCATCCTGAGGAGATCAAGGTTGATTTGATAGATGAAATGGAGCGAGATGAGGATTTCTATATGTTCCATTTTAAGACTGTATGGTGACCATATACGGAGAAAAAGCATGCTAGGGATGAATGCGTATATGCTCATAATTGGCAGGATTTTAGAAGAAAACCTCAATTATTCCCTTACTCACATGAGCAATGTCCTCAATGGCATTCAAGAACATTTATCCAAGTTTATGGAGATGGCTGTAAAAATGAATTTTTGTGTCCCTACAGTCATGGTTGGAAAGAGCAAGAATATCATCCTAAATAACTATAAAATGAATGCTTGTAGAAATGATTCAAACTGCAATAAACCCCATTGACCATACTTCCACTCTGATGCACAAAAGAGAGCCCAAATACCCGATGGGTTCAAGTTAATGCCTAAAAATAGAGGCACAGTGTTTCAGAATAATGAATATTTAGCAGAGTATATCCAAAATCAGGCTCCTTTGGTGTTGCCTCATAGAAGCAAAATTTATCATCCATCGACTGCCCCATTCGTGAATTCTGATGTATTTATGAAACAGCCTTATTACATAATCCATGCTTCTCTAGGATTCAAAGATCAATCACAGTTTTCATATTACCTGACAGGACATGCAGAGGATCAGCAAGAGCATAAACAAAAAGGTTCTGTGGCTTCCTCAAAAGGGAAGATTCCTAGGACATTTTCTCATAATTCTCATATGAACGTGGGTTCTAGCGTACCTTTCTACCCAGGAAAAGGGAAGGTAATTTCAAAGCCAATGATGCATCAGATTCAATCTTACAAAGATATTAGAAGCAGGTTCCCAACCAGCGCATCACATGGGATGCTAGTGGGGATGGGAGAGAACCCTCATAATGTTTATTCACAACCTCCAGGACTCGAGAACTCAATCCCTTCTCAGAATAACATCTACAGACCCCATCGAGAAGATATGAGCGAGAACTGGAACAGAAACATGTACCCACAAGATGGGAATTATGCCAATCAGAAGTACATGCAGTGGCAAAATAGTGGGTCCCAGATGATCCCATCTGCTCTCCAAGCTCAAGTCCCTATGAAAAAGAAAGCTGGAAATATGAAAGGCTCTGTATCTACTGAATTTAACTATAATTTCGGTGAAAAACTAACGAATGACAATGAAGAGAAAGTCCCATTTGGACTATTTGAAAACAAGAGCGACTCTGACGAGGAGAACCACAACCATAAATTTTATGAGAAAATCTCAGAGTCAATGGGTGGGCTTAGGCATCCGAACCAACTTAAAAATCAAGCATTCTCAACTGGTATTGAGCCAATAAGGAAATACACAGGCCAGTCTTTGGGAAATGTGAAGGAAAGTGAGGAAGCTAAAGAGTAGAACCGCTTCCATAAGATTAGAATACAATTGACGTTACTTATTCCGAAACTAATATCAAATTTACTCAGACATTGTTTCCATTCAAATAATTTATTAGTCAAGGTTTATCTAACTGGCACTCTACAGTTAAAAACAGTGGTTAGAAAATCTTAGATTCTCAAGATATCAGATTTGAGATTTATAATTAGATTTGATTTCAAACTAGATTTCAAATGCATCAATTTCTTTCAGCAAATCTGACTTGTAAATTTTAATATCTATTCGTATTTTATTTTAAGTCGTAAAGATTTTATAAAAGAAATCGTTCCTTAAGTTGATGACTCTTTCAGTGTTAAGGATCGAAAAATTCCCATTTGGAAAGCATTTTTTCACTATGAGAGTACTTTTTATTTGTAAAAATGATTAGAAGACCAAAACAGCTTTAGGAATAGTCGTAAATTACACCCATCTATTCACTCCATTCTTTTATTGTATAATTCTGTAGTGTATATAAAATTCAATTAATCAGTGGCAGTTTTGGGGTTTTGGGGTTTTGGGGTTTTGGGGTTTTGGGG